AGATAGAGAGAGAGAGAGAGAGAGAGAGAGAGAGAGGTGAAAAACGTTGTAAATCGCTGCAGCTATCGTTTTTCTCGTGTCGTGAAAAACCTTTATACGGCACGGCAATTTCTAAAAAGAACGAGAAACGCGTAGAAAACAGCCGCGATGTTTTTTTGACATCATCGCCAACTCTGCGGTTTCGAAATCACTGGGATTTCCCCCTGATATTTTGCTCATTTAGACAATCTCGTCTGTTCGCAATCAGTCATAACCCAGCCATATAAGCCATATGCGCCGCTGTTGAAACATGAACATGACGCATGCATTTTCGTTTACATGCAAACCGCCAGCCACTCACTTCCTCAACGCGAGGCCTTGTTCAATGAACGATGATTATTCCTAAGATTACTGTTACTATTACTCCTTACACTTATACTCTCCCTCTTTCTTCTCGCGCGCGCATTCTCTCTCTCGCTCTCGCTCTCTTTCAATATATACATTTCTCTTGCATTTTTATTTCTATGCAGCTGTCAGCAAAATCACAATTACATCATGACTAGTATTGTAATGCTATCGGTAATGTATAAATAAACGAAAAAATGGTGTTTCTGTTATATACGACCTACTGACATTATTCCTAGGGTGCGTCATAGGTCTAAGCTCTGTCCTAGCGCTACGGCTGTTCTCTGGCAACGCCATGAGCTAGAGCAACAGTTACTAGGTCGCCGGTGTAGTGAAAACGTTTCCTATCTGTAAAGCGAGGGGATGTCGATGTCTGTACATAGCACCTCGTTACGCGCTTTGTTCCTACTTTCCGCCCTGTGGAGAAAGGGAAGTGAGTCTAGTAGGTGACGAACGTGGGAGAACGGCTATGTAAGTAACATTCACTTCATGCAGGAAGTCGTAAGAGATGGTGACGAGCTCGGAGGCGATTTCTGCCATATAGCGCGCGCGCGCGGCGCGCGCGTGACTGCCACGTGTTGTGTGTCTGTGTGTGTGTGTGGTGTGTGTTGTGTGGTGTGTGTTGTGTGTATGTTGTGTGCGTTGTGTGTGTGGTTGTGTTGTGTATGTGTGTGTGTGTGTGTGTTGTGTGTGTAGAGATGTGTTGTATGTGAGAGAGGAGAGAGAGAGAGGAGAGAGAGATGAGAGAGAGAGAGAGAGTGTGGTGTGTATGCCCCAATCAACCCTTCGACTGCTGGTGTGGGGTGGGGGGCGCCGGGGTGGGGGGGAGGTGGGGGGGGGGGTGGGGGGGGGGGGGGGGGTGGGGGGGGGAGGGGGGTGGGGCGCTGGGGGGCGGGGGGGCCGGTGTGGGCGGGGGGGGGTGGGCGGGGGTGGGGCGGGGGTGGGGGGCGGGCGGGGAGTGTTGTGGGTGTGTGTTGGTGGGTGTGGGGGTATGTGAGAGAAATAAGGAAGAGAGGAGGGGAGACGAGGGACGACGGAGAGAGGAGACGAGGAGGAAGAGATAGAAGTGTGTGCGCGGGGGCGAATGCGCCCTCCCGGGTCGCGGGTGGGTGACGTATTTTTTTTTATTGCCTGGCCGGGGGCGGAGTGCTGGCCTGACTTATGTACCCTTGTGGTTGTGTGAGAGACGAGAGAGAGAGAGGGGGCGCAGTATCGGCTGTGTGTGTGTATCTGTAGGAGAGAGAGAGAGAGAGAGAGCGAGGAAGAGAGTGTGTGCATGTGTCGTGGTATGTGTGTGTGTGTGGTGTATGTGAGAGCAGAGAGAGAGAGAGACGACGAGAATTAGAGAGAGAGAGAGAGAGGTTCACCTGTGGCTGTGTGTATTGTGAGAGAGAGGGAGAGAGAGAGAAGAGAGAGAGAGAGAGAGAGTGTGTGCGTGTGTGGTGTGTTGCGTGTGTGTGGTGTGTGTGTCGTAGTGCGTCGTGTCTGGCGTGTGTGCGTTGTATGCGGGTATGTAATGCGCATGTGTTGCTGTGATGTGTTGATGTGTGTGTGGTGTTGTGTGTGTGTGTGTGATTGTGCGCGCGGCGGCGTGTGTGTGTGTGTGTATGGTGTGTGCGCGTATGTGCGCGTTTGTGAGTGTGTGCGAACGCGATGGTTAACACGCTTGTATAGATAGACATAGATAGTGCACCAGGAAGAAACCTTCTGGCATTCCATTATCGCTAGCATAGATCTAATGTATCTGCACCCCAACTATGCAGACAATCTACGACGCAACGCCGCTGTATCGCTTTGAATTTCGTAAAAAAAATAATTAACGCGATAGATATAGAATACACACACTTTCAACATCACTGTGTGCCTCGTCACCGCGCACTCCGTTAACGAATCAAATATGGCTGCCACCGCGGACCGAAGACCCTTAAGGTGGTGAACAACAGTAGCGGGCGTCCATAGGCAGCAGGCCTGAATAAGCATCGAACAGAAATTAATTAAAAATACTTACACTGTTACTGCGCATACACAACATACACTTTATTCATGTTAAATAACTACAGATTCATGCTCTATGCTCCGCTTGAAACTCTTGCCAGCTCTATGATGCGAATTTCTGCAAAGTTGTCTGAACACATTTCAAACACAAAAATGACCAACCGGTCGCTGTGGCTACGCCACCTGACGGAATGACACAACAACACGACAATACCAATTTTACTTCTTATGCTTTCTAGACGTCCACGAGGCATCTAACTTGCGTGCGTAATGCAAATTATTGCACTCTAGTGCCGAATTTTGGCGAAAAAAAATTCCAAACAAGGCCGTTTCTAGAGACGAAATAGTGCAATTTGCGGTGAACAATTAGCGGAGGCTTACTGTTGTATGCCTCCTTAATTAACTCTCTTGTTTCCCGAGAGAAGTCACGCCTGCGCTATACGTCATACGGAGTTGGCGCGTGCTCGCGTTAGCTCGCAGAAATCTCTTCTACTGATTCCGGAGTGCGAACAGATGTATGTGACTGAAGCAGAACGCGGGTGAGTGGAGCCGCATCTGACGGTGATTCCGATTGAAATCACCACTTGAGCTTGCGCAGTTTTTTTTGGCCAATTGCCAACTTGAACCCTCGACTAGCTACTTTGCCAGGTTCGGTTGTCCCTGGTGAGTCTCTGGCTGATTCGCTGATTAATACTGCGAATAGATGACGTAGTATCACGAGAAAACGATAACATGCATTTTTTCTAAGCATATCGCGAACTAGCCACAAGTTCCCTTCTCGCTTAACACTACGTTGGCGAGAGGTCGTAGTCTCCTACGACGTACAGTCGGAGAGCCTGGTCGGGCTAATCGCGAACTATCCCATGCGATTTCTTGTTCTTCACATACCCTACTTGGTTGTAGTGTCACAAACATAGATATCCTATAGTACACAAGCACACCATACCGCACCGCACCGCACCGCACCGCACCGCACCGCACCGCACCGCACCGCACCGCACCGCACCGCACCGCACCGCACCGCACCGCACCAAACCGCACCAAACCGCACCACACCGCACCACACCACACCACACCACACCACACCACACCACACCACACCACACACACGCATACACACAACACACACACACACACACACACACACACACACACACACACACACACGCGCGCGCGCGCGCACATACATACACACACAATCATTATTCTGCTGGCAACGCGACCAACCGCGAACGATAAAACGTGCTCTGATAGGGCTTAATTATCATGTTCCATTGAACCGTATCATACTCAATTAGGTCCTACCATGGCCATTTGTTAGTTAATGTGCTCAATTGGACAATATTGTAATTTTCAGGTCTGTTCATGCTTTGCTATACCTTATGCTCGTTGGGGCCATATCTTTCTCAGTTAGGCAATATCATGCTTATTGGGAGCGTATCATGTTGAGTAAGGTCATATCATTCTTGTTGAA